CCCCCCAAAAAAAAAAAAAAAGTAGATACTATACCGTGACTCGGACTCTTCGGGCCGCTCTTACACTCTATGGCAAAACGCTGTTCAAGCAAAAAAGCTTCCAAAGCCGACACCCCTAAACTCCGAAACCCTAAACTAATCATCCTCAAACCCAAAACCATCATCCCTAAGCTCTAAACCCCTAAACCCTGAATCCTAAACCATCCTAAACCCTAAACTCGCAAACCCTAAACCATCTCTAGACATCTCTAAACCCTAAACTCTACACCCTAATCCCATACAATACTAGGCAAGGCCAGGGTGCAGGGACCAAAGCCGTCCCGCCGTGGTAGCCCTGGGCTTCGTAAGCCCGACCTTCAGGGTCTGTTCATAGGTGTTTGATAGGGCTCATAGGGTTTAGGGTTTAGGGGTTATAATAGGGTTTAGGGTATGGGGGGGTTAGGGTAGGGGGGTTAAAGTATATTGAATGCGCTATGAGGTTTTTGGATGGGTTTCGGGCGGTATCTCAGAATTCAAGAGCGTTTCACACAGGGTTCTATACAAGTCTCATGCGTGTTTTATACGGGTTCAACAAAATCTTCATCGCCGCTTTATTTCATAGAGCTTACACAGGCTTCAAACTTTTCTACTAAATTTTTACGCATCCAGAGTGGGCTTGGGGTATACTTTGGTATGCTTATTATTTCCGGGCTACCATATGCGTGTTCGCATCTCCTTATTTTGGTTTGTATTGTTTGGGGTTCATTGAGGCTGCTAACTTGTCAGGGTTACTGAAAAGGTGGGTTTTTTCGGTTCAAGGCTTAGTCAGTGGGGAGATGGATTTTCAGGCATTTACATGTAGGATCCGATAAGGTATCGAAGAAAACCGTATAATCCGTAAACCCTAATCCCTGTAAGTTCTGAACCCTATAATCCCTCAAACCCTTATCCCTACAAGCTCTTAACCGTTCTGGGGGCTGCAGGTAGCTTTTTAGCAGTCTGGGCAGTAGCCCCTGAACCAAGCAATCTTACGCCACGGTAAGGTTTAGGGTGTCGGGTTTAGGGTATGGTAGGGATCCCACTCTAAGTTCATGGTCTGTTCCTCAACTCAGGGATAGTGGCAGGTCTTTGGATTTTTGGTTGTCCAGGAGAGGCAGGGGCTGTCAGAGATTGAGCAAAAAACCTCTAAAGAGCTTCAGTCTACTTGGAGGATCATGGGACTTAGTAACTAGGGTTATAAATAAGGTGACTATACTTATAAGTAGTTAGAACCCCAATTAATGTAGTTGTAACCTTACTTACTAAGTCCCATGATCCTCCAAGTAGGTTAGGTAAAATTCCAGGAAACCTACAGGTGGGGAGTTTAATGTATATAAGGCTTCTATAAGGCTTCTGTACGGTATATAGACCTTCTGTAAGGCCCCTATAACACTACCCACCTGAAAATGTCCGAGACTAAGACCCTGAACCCTGAACGCCCTAAAACGCCCCCAGCAACTGAGGAGCCCGGGCCAGGTAACGCTTCAGCAGCACATCGCTGAGAAACAGCAAGCCCCAGTAGGTCCAGGTGGGGTGCGCATGGCACCATCTGGGCAGCAAGCTCTTAAGGGTTCATATAACTATACCGTATACTTTAACATTCATTTATAGGAACCCCGTTAAGTTCAAATGTATTGACGGTATAGAGTATCACGAATCATGGACGTGCATCCTTGGAGTACAAGAGCTCGTTGCCCGATATTTCGTTGCAAGCGAGCGTTCGATCTACAGGCTGCAGACATACATACAAGTTAGTCTCGAGGTCGCAGAGACCCAGAGCTTCCAAAATCGCTTCATCAGGGGATACACCTTAAACCACACATACTTAAGGTATCCTATAATCTAAGGCATATATTCCTTAATTCAGGGATTTTGGAAGGTCTGGGGAAGTCAGTGCACGCGGGGTGTGCCTGGCTCCATGCTCGAGCGGCCACAAGCGCAGGCGATACTCGTAGAACATCTCGCCCCTTGGCTGGGAGCTAGGATTAAGGAGACCCTTGGGGATATAGACCCTCTCAATAAGGTCCCTTTTAGAGCCAAACGTAGGGTTCAGAAGGGGTACCCTTTAAGGGGTACCCCTAATAATACTACCCCTTGGCCAGGTTCTCGCTCAGAAACTTCGAGTTTAGGGTTTAGGGTTACCATATACGGCAAGAATGGTAGCTTAAACTAACTTTCCTGAGGGTTAACACACTATTTATAAAAGACTAAGAATACCGTACGGTATAATATATCTCTATGGCAAGGATACAGTACTTCAACTCTGCAGATGAGCATGTTCGTGCAGCTTTTCGGTTAGCATGAACAACGAATGTGCTGCAGATGTTGGCTTTGTGGAGTTGGAACATGGTTAGGATCCCAAAGCAGCATCGAAGTAGACTTTACAGACACGCACACTAAGTCAAACACAAGCACCTAACAAAGCCCGTCCCCCGGAAATTCCTAATGTCAAACCAAGGCGTCATAAGAGGTGATATGTCCCGAACCCCAAAGCTCTACAAATACACTGTGTTTTAGAGGCCTAACGAAACCAACAAGCAAGAACCGCACCATCCGTTCTCAGGTATCCCAAACCTCGTGAAGCAAAGACCCACTCCGCCACTCAGCCCTGAACGGGCGCGTATCGCGTGCCATCCAGTGAACTGGCCTCGGAGGACGGTAAAGCTTAACAACAACAGACCTAAACCCTAAACCTCCACATCGCATTTTTGCGGCGAACTACAGAAGCACCACAGGAGCATGGTTTAGGGTTCAGGGTCATCTTCTGGCCATGCTTGGCAAAGCCATCCGCTTTGGGAATCGTGCCTGCCGTAGCTGCAACTTTCCGCAGCCAGGTCGCATCAACGGGAATGGGTAGCTCCGGGTCGTCTGCTGCCTGCGGCGAGCTCTTGCTAGGGCAGGTTTAGGGTTTAGGTCGCACTGGTACTGGACAAGCCACATCATAGAGCACCCGAAGTCTGGCTGTCTCTTCGACTGTCGACAAGAGCACTTGAAGCTCGTCTTCGACGAACCCGCGGGCCCACCGAAAAGAGTTCAGCCAGATCGAAGAACAACTTTCGCAGGCTCAAAGTCTCAAATCGGAATCCCACAAAGCAGCTTCTGGTTCCTATAGTTGCTGATTTCGCTGGCCCCACATACGGTTAAAGCAAGTATATGATACGATTGCTTCATCTCGGTGTTGCTGTTCAAAGAAGGAAAGTCTGTCTGTGCAGCTCTCTCTGTTGCTCTCTGCCGTGACCAAAAATGTGTGTGTATATATATATATATATATGTATATGTATATATATATATAAACAACTCTCAGGGCCCTAAGCTGATTCCAAATCCCGACACCCCAAAGCCCTACATGCCCAAAACCTGAAACCCTTAATCCCGAAGCCCTGGACCCCTTTCAAAAAGAACCCTAAAAACCTGAATCCCGAAACGCTGAACCGTCAAACCTTTGTAAACAAAAAACAAAATCCCAAAACTCTGAACCATTCATCCCGCGAAGATCCAGCCTGGCTGCCCCGAAAACTCTGTCGACAAGCGGTGCCACCAGCTGATCCACGTCGAGTTGAACACCAACTGGGGGGTTTAGGGTTTGCCTATGCTCTCTGTTGTAGTTCCTTCTTGGGGTTACCTTTTCGGATCCTTAATATAAACTTGCCTAAACCCTAAACCCTGAACTACAATGGAGACTACAAACCCTAAACCCTAAACCCTGAACTACAATGGAGACTACAAACCAAAACCCTCAACCCTAAACCCTACACCCTGTACCCTAAACCCTAAACCGACAATGGAGACTATAAGAATGTCTGTTCGCGCTGTGCGACTTCAGGGTTCCGGGCTTGTCGCTGACTGTCAGATTCAGGCTGAGCACGTCGGTTTAGAGGTTTAGGGGTTTACGGGTTTAGGGTGTAGGGTTTAGGGTTTAGGGGTTTAGGGTCTGGGGCTTTAAGGGTTCAGGGCTTTGGGGTTTAGGGTTTAGGGATTAGGGTCTGGAAGTCTACTGAGAAGGCTGCAAACAACCTAAACCCGACAAATCCTAAGGTCCTAAACCCTAAACCCAAAACATGATAGACCCTAAAATAAGCCCTAAGCCCAAAATCCTAAACCAAAAGCCTTATAAAGCCTTTAAACAGGCGAAGGATCGAACCGGAAGCAGGAACATGAAATTGAAAAAGCCCACCGGCACCAAGGTCCCAAATCCCGAAACAACTTGAGGAAAGTTCCGGGATTCATGTGGGTAGTTCTCTAAATTAGTGTCCCTTTTAGGGGCCTTTTTATGAGGGTGCCGTACGATATTGGGGACCTAAAAATGGACCCTAACTTAGAGAACTACCCATGTTGTGGGGGGATGTGTAGAATTCTAAGCCACATCTACAGTCCCTTCTGAACCGCGCTCATCCGAGCCAGATCCTAACATAAAGGGCACAGTGATTGAAATGGACTTCTCACAGTTCGCATAAAGCTTCCCGCAAAACCCAGCAAAAATCCACAACCCATAAACCACCTACTTCCAGCAGCAGCTCAAAAACAAAAACAGGTCCAAGCTTGCCACCGACAACCCTCGACGCGATCATGCTGCGGATCTGGCAGAGCCGATGGGCAGAAGCAACGCCATGCCCAGTCGTTTATAGCGTTTTGGGAACCTCCCTACACGCTAAACCCTAAACCCTTGTAGTTCCTTTTTGGGTTGAACCTTTCAGGATCCTGAACATAAGATTGGACCGAGCGAGGCCGAGCTGGTGCGCAGCCCTGCTTTGGGTGTATGTTTTTAGAATGTGAGGTGTAGGGTTTAGGACTTTAGGTTTCAGCGTTCCACTCCAAATCATTCCGAAAAAATCAAAACAGAAATAATAATTTCTAACAAGTCGAAATCATTTTAAACTCTTCGTAATCATTATAATGTTCGAATCATTCTCACAATCCTTACACACAAAGGTCCATATGATACCTTCTTGAGAAGATACTCTGTTTTATTTATGGTTGATTGGTTGAACCAAGACAAGGAACTGCAGTGGAGACGGATAGGTCTGGATTTCGATTTACATCTTCAATTGAAGCAAGCTTAACACCTGCCCGTGCCTTAAAATCGATTGTAATGCCTTCAGCGACCTGTACATCTGTTGTGTCCAGGTGCATTACAATCGATTTTGAGTGATTTTGCTGCCTCCGGACTGAAATGAACCACATCCGATGTTCAGTGTTTGTTGTTTTTTGTGACGCCGAGGTTTTATTCCAGAAAGCAATTCAGGGCTCCCGAGATCATGAGAAACCCAGAGGCCCAAAAAACTCAGTGGGCGAGTCCCAAAAACGAGTGAGTGACTGAATGAGTGAGTTGAGCGAGTGAGTGAGGGAGTACAGTATGTGAGGGAGTGAATTGCGTGAGTTTCATCAGTGAATCAGTGAGGGAGGGAGTGAGTTGTTGAGTTGGTGGCTGAGGTGGACGGATGGCGAGCGGAATGCATAGTCCAGCGTATGGCAATTGTTGTCCCAGGCCGGTTTTGTTTCTGAAATCCGCCTGAAACCTTGTCCGAGGTCGCAGTGGCACTGTTTAGGGCTTCTCCTCGATACCTGCTACAGTCTGGCCCCAATGTTCAAAAACCCGGAGCTCCACAGGACCCTCGCAGAGACCCCTCTAGACTTGGACGAAGGGTTCACGGGTCAAACGCTTAGGGCGCCGTACAGCATTTACAATTCAATGAGGTAAATAAAAGTCGGTATTTAAGTGATTACATGGTGCTTCAGAGTACAAAACATCGCATGAAACCCAGATTGAATACCGTCCCGGCGGCCTAGAGGTCAAAGCGAACTTAAATCGATCTTAAACGATTAGGGGGTGCAGGAGTATTACATCTAGATTTAATACCCTCCCGCCGGGTTGAGAGGTCGATTTCAATTGAAATCCATACTGAGTTGATTGAACCACCCTAAACCCTAGATGAGGGGATGTAAATCGATTTTAAGTGATCTTAGGGCTAGAAACAAGGAAGCAATCAACATATATTTCATATAGGAGGCTCCTGTTCTGAATCGGGAAATCGTGGAAACACGACGTAGTAAACTCGAATTTAATGGACGACTGAAACTGAAATCCGGTGATTTTCCAACGGAGACTATAGGTAGGGTTTAGGGTCGAGAGACAGCTGTGCGAAGGAACAGTAGCAACAATCGCACCAGCAATGACGACTGTGAAATTACAAGAAGTAACGAACAATATGTCTTGACAACACTGGTACTGCGGTCATGACAACGCTCACCAATGCCCATGGCAATACTACCTAGGGTTTTGGATCTACCGTACCTTATTAACGCTACACTCCAAGCCCTATTCCCCTATAGCCACGCATATCCCTAAACCCCTGAACCCCAAAAAACCATAGAGGCCCGAAGTCCTTGAAGACCGAAACCCCTACCGAAACCCCTAACCCCTAAACTGGTTGAGCCTTTGGGCCCTTGGGGTCACGAAGGGAACAGCCTACGTCATCCCCCCAAATCGCGAGGTTTAGGCCTCCTTTTCCTCACGAGCCCCAAACCCGGACACCCACCCAAAATCAAAGGCTTTCAGGCTTCGGGGTTTAGGGTTTAGGGGTTTAGCGCTTAAGGTTTAGGGATTCTTTGCTCGAGCGCCTTGTTGAAGTTGAAGGAGACAGGGTAGTTCATGCCAGGGAGCATCCTGAGGGGTTCAGGGGCAGTTCTCTTCCTACGGCAGATGATATAGATCCTGCATTACCTTAAGGGCCCTAAACTATGGGAATGGCGGTACATTATGGGTAATGCAGGCTTTAGATCATCAACCGTACTCTGTCAGTTATCTGGAGTTGGGGTTTCGGGTTTAGGGTTGGGTCTCCAGGTGTTCAGTCTTGGGTGTAGGCGGTTGAAAATTAACAACGTGTGCGTGTGCTCTCTGACGGGCTGAAAGCAATGGAGCTGAGGGTTTTCAGGCATTCGAGATTACGGTTGGACAATTAAGTTGCAGGACTATAAGCTCGGCATAAGGTTATAAAGGGGACAGCGTCGAGAAGGCTCAAGTTTGTGTTTGTCTAAGCTTGTGAATTGGCTTTCTTCATGGTGTACCTGTAGTCTCCATTGTAATTCGTGCTTTGGGTTACCTTCTAGCATCCGACATACAAAACTGATCAAGCCAAACAAAAACTAGAAAGGAGCCTGTACGTACGCTTACAAGGCCTGCTGGCTGAGGGGCTCAACGTCATTTCACAAGTCAGGCTCGATGGTTTCAGGGTTTAGGGCTAAGGCTTCGGGGCAGGCAGAACATGAACAGCTTAGGGTTTAGGGTTTACGGTTTAGGGTTTACGGTTTAGGGTTAAGGACTTAGGGTTTAGGGTTTGAGGGTTTCGGGTTTAGGCTTTAAGTACCGAAGATGCACACATGGATTTGTCAAACATGCTGGCCTAGGACATGTATCGTTCTCCAACCAGGCCTGACCACTCAGGAACCCCGAACCCAATCCTGACACGGGAGTTCCAAAAATTGGGGTACCTTATTTTGGGGTCCTTATAATAAGGGTCCTACTATTTAGGGTACTATGCTAGGGTCCCCTATTTTCGGAAACCCACACATCAAGAACACTTCCAAAGGCCGACCTGAGCTTCGAAGTTAGAGGTAGCGTAAGCAATACCCCCCTCCCCCCCTTCGGATTCAAGCCCTCAAGCAAAGGCCAAACAGTACCTTCCGACCCTGCTCTGGGCTCTAACAACCTCAGAGTGTAACCGACGGACATCCAGAAGGAAGCTGGGCTTCATCGGACCATAGGGAACTTACTGAAACCTTCTGTGAGCCCTAAGAACCCTAAAGCCTAAAGCCCGAAATCCTAGAACCCCCCCAACCCTGAACTTCCAGAGTGCCCCAAACCCTCGGCCCTAAACCTAAATCCCGCCTAGACCCTCCGAGCCCGAACTCAGTCTGCACCAACCTCGAGCGAGCCCAAGACCGAAAAAAAACCAAAACTCAAAGCCCGAGAAAGCCCCTAAACTTAAGCCCCCGCCTTGGTTTGAAGCAGAAGATCCGAAGCAAAGTCAAGAATCCCCAGCCATGAAAAGGGAGGCTGGAACCCTGAACACTAAGGAAACTAGGTTTAGGGTTTAGGGTTTAGGGTTGTTCGAGTACGCCCCACCTTAACCTCTGCCACCCTCGAACCCCACAACTCCTACGGACGCTAAGCCTTAAGCTCTAGACCCTATAAGCCCTTCAAACTCCAGCCCCCTAACCCCAAAGTCGCAAGCTTAAGACCCGAAATAATATCAGCCCTAAAACCAAAGCCCGAAACCCTGAGTCCTAAACCGTGAACTCTGAACCCTTAACCTAGGGGTTTGGGGTCTAGGGTTAAGGCCCCGGAACCCTAAAACCCTGAGCCCTACCTCGATAAGCCTGAGATCAGGACTTGTAGACCAGGACGTTCGTAAAGCGCGCCCAGTGTGCAGGCGGCCGGAAAGTCAGGTCGCAGACCTGCAGAAGGGGCCTTCGTGTAGTGGTTCAGGGTGTAGGGTCAATTGGGTTTAGGGTTTAGGGTTTAGGGTTTAGGGTTTAGGGTCAAGAAGTGGATTTTGTGCCCTGGCTTAGGGCTTAGGGTTTAGATGCTGGAGCACTGTAGCGGCTGCCTAGCCACTTGTCGACTTCAGACAGTCTAGGATGCGACTGTGACTGATGCACATACTGAGCGACGACTTTCCGAGAGGAATTATCTCAAAACGCGGCTGACTTCACAGTTTGTGGGCATGTACTCAAAACATACTTGATGCAGACAATTGAAATTCCTGCCTGCCACACATTTCGGCACTGGCACTTGTTTGTATATATATATATATACTGATACATATACACACACACAATTTTTCTTGCCTTCATAAATACATATAGGCATGTACATACTCTACCGCTGTCATCTGTTGTTATCTATATCGCTCACAGTCATCAACATTGTGATATCTACTCAATATCAGCAGTATTGGTGTTATCCTGTCCCCAGATCATGGTCCAAACTAAGTATTGAATATGGTCCCAACTAAGTATTGAATATGTACTTTAAAGCCGGATCAGAGATCAACGTGAACACTCATCGTACCGAGCAGCAAGATGTGCAAACACCCGGGGCGGTGTTGGTCTTTCCGGCGTGTGCAAGCCAAAACATAAAACAGTTCCCATGTCTCGAATGCAACCACCAAGGCTCTGCATGCACACGCGAGGCCTGCAAAGGAGGGTTTAGGGCTCTAGTTTTGGGGTTTGGAGTTTAAGGTACAGGGTTTAGGGTATTGATTTTAGATTCGTTGAGGGTCTATGTTTAGTAGATAGGCCGCAGCAATCGCATCCAATTTCTCAGACTCCCGCCATGCAGAAGATGAGGGTTTAGGGTTTAGGGTTTAGGGTTTAGGGTTTAGGATTTAGGGTTTAGGGTTTAGGGCTTAGGGTTTAGGGTTTAGGGTTTAGGGAAACCACAAACCCCCCAGTCTTGAACTGTTTGGGGCACCATACCCTGCGGTACTCGAGGGACTGTAAGCAAAGTTTAAAACCCTCCGAGATGCGAGGCAGCAGTACGATTGCTATGCGTCCTCTACAGCCTAAACGCTGAAACCCTAAACCCCAATCACCACCCTAAACCCCAAACCCCAAAAAACCCTCGACCCAACAACTGCTAGACCCAAATCCGAATCTGGGAACCTAAACTCATGCGAAGCACGACCATGAATCGACTCCTTGTCCCACGACCTACCGTCAACAAAGAGACTCTATAGTCTAAGACATTGTGCTTTCTGTAATACTGTTTGGTATTACAATATACTGTTTGGTATTGCAATATAGTATAAGATTGTATGTTGTCGTGCATTGTACATTAAACGATATTATCGTATTCTCATGCATTGATATCACCCTAAAAAGCTCTAAACCCTAAACCCTGGTACAGCCCGGTAATTCTGAGCCCCGAGCCACAACAATGATCGGACGGCGGGAGAAGAGTGCCACCGACCTCGCGGTAAAGGGTTTAGGGTTGGGGGCTTAGGGTGTAGGGTTTGTGCTTTAGGGTTTGGGGTTTAGGGTCTAGGGTTAAGGGTTGCGGTTTGGAGGTTTGGCAAAATAACGCTACGGGTTCAAGGACCTAATACAAGTTGGTACCTGGGTTGCGGATAGTCGTGTTGTAGGTTGGTATTTGGAAGAGTGTATGCTAACTAATGGGTACTTGGACCCTTGCAGTAACTCATCCTAAAATACTCATAGTCTCCATTGCAGTTCCTCTTCCGGCTTGCCTTCGGGTCCTAACTATAAACTGGGTTTAGCCCAACCTTTACCCTAAACCCTAAACCCTGAAACCCTAAACCCCTCATTCGTAATCAAACCTAAGTACTACAGCTCTGACCTGAAACCCAAGAAAAGCTCGAAGCCACCAAACCACCCCTGGAAGTACTGTCTATCTAGCTCTCTGTCTCCCTCTCTCTCTCTATATATATATATATATAATATACACACGTGTATAAGAACATGCGTATAAATGTATGTATGTATGTATATATGTATGTATGTATGTATGTATGTATGTATGTATGTATGTATGAATCTATCTATAAATATATATATATATAGAGAGAGAGAGATATCAGATATCGGAAAACCCTAAACCCTCATATAGACCCCTTTATTGATCAAAAAAGACCCATCCTAGACATTATCGCGGCCTCGTGGTACTCGCAGAGGCCTCACAAAATTCCTTATAGGGCTAAACCCTAAAGCCCTAAACCCTAAAGCCCAAAACCCTAAAGCCCAAAAAACCTAAACCCCTAAAAACGTAAACCCCTTAAGGCCCTAAACCCTGAAGCCCTAAACCCTGTAAAGCCCTAAATCCTAAAGCCCTAAACCCCCGCAAACCCTGAAGCCCTAAACCCTACAGCAGAAAACCCTAAAGACCAAAACACTAAAGCCCTAAATCCTAAAGCCTTAAACCCCTTAAACCCTAAAGCCCTAAACCCTAACAAAGCCCATGAGGGACCCGCCGGATGAGGTTCGTGGCCATCCATTCGAAGTTCGAGTTAGCCTCGCCAGCGATGTAGGTCCTGGGCTCTTTTGTTATGTCTCGGGTTTAGGGGTTTAGCGACAGGGGTTTAAGGTTTAGGAGATTAGATTAGGGTTTAGGAATTGTTGTGTAGGGTTGAGGAGATTAGGGTATAGGCTTTGGGGGTTTAGGGATTGGGGTTTTTAAGGTTGAGAAGATTAGCTTAGCGTATAGAGTTTAGGGGTGTCAAGCTTAAGGCTTCGGCTTTGGAGGAATGTAGGACTTGCATTGTAAGATCTAGGAGGCGCCCTCAGGTTTGTGGTGTAGTGACAGATGTTGTTGCGGTTGGAGGGTTTTCACCAAAAGAGCCGAAACGTGTGGCACACACTATGGCGCTTGCACGTCTTAAGGGTGAAGAGACTTGCTTCGGGCGGCTAAGGGGTTTGGCGGTCAGAGCTTACTTATATGTTGATGTGTATATATATATATAGAACAAAAAACTCATATATATATATATATATATTTGTTTATTTATTTTTAGATCTTTTTATTTTGCTATACATGAACCGAAGCCCTAAACAGCTTTATAGTATCCTCATAAGTCATAGAACCTTCTCGACTTCTATAAACAACGCCCAGGGTGTCCTGGGACGCTTGGCATAAAGGTTCGACAGTGTTTCTGGCTCTAAGGAATTATCAGGTCCACAATTATGTGCCGAACTTAGATTGGGGCTTTGTGTGCATCTTCGAGAAATGCCCCCTGCGCTGCACCAGAGGCTAAAAGACAGAGTACTTGCATTATTTACTATGACGGACATGAGGTATACGAGGGGGTTCCGGGGACATACCGGGACCTAGGAAACTTAGAGTCTAAAAGCTTGGGGTTGCCGACTTTTGCGGATAGAGGGTGCAGGGCTGAGAAGTTATAAGGCTTGGAGTTCAGGATCGTTCACTTTCTAGGGGCTGCAGAAGCTTTATGGCTTGGGACTTGCGGTTTGCGGTTTGTGTCGGAGGTTCGGGTCATTAGTGTGCTAGCCCTCGGCTAGCCTAGCGCCCTGGGCCCCTGCACTGTGCTCCCAGCTCATCGAAGTTTTGTACGGCTATTACTTATGGCCAGTGTATGTTCAACATCCAAGCACACGAAAGGAAACCATGACAAACGGCGCTCTCAACTGACCTGCTCACAGCTTGGAATGGCATCCTTGCGAGATGCTACAACATATATAAATACCCGGCAACGACGAGTCGCCAAGTCAAAACCGCACCCCGAAACCCTAAACCCTGAACCCTGACAGACAGAAGAAAGGCCTTGAGACGCCAACCCCTAGGCCTCAACACAAGTGTGCCTGCACCTGAAAGCCTTAGAAGCCCTACCCAAAACCACCCAACGCAGCTAATCTAGGGCGCCGACTGCCGAGCTAACAACTACTTGATATTCTTGCTCAGGGCTCCCTCAGTGATTATAGTTTAGAGAAAAACCCAAAGCCCTGTATTCTGATTATTGAGGCACTAAGGCAGGACCCTATGCTACTGGGGGCATCGCACGAAGGCTTCCTCGATCCACTCATCGGGTGCCCACCGCATGTAATTCCTGACGAGCCGCCGGAGCTCGAAGTCAAAGTCTATGGGGTTTAGGGGTGTTTGGGTTTATTCGGGGTTTAGGGTGCAGGGTGGTATACTAGTTCCGGGGTCGGAACTTATTGGGGTTATAGGGTGTGTAGGGTTTGTATCATGGGGCGCATGAAGCGTCTATAAGGCTTAGAGAGTTTATGGGGATTCATGATCAAGGTCTGCTGCATGATAGACTCCACTGTGGGCTGTGTGCCAGCGTGACTTTGCGCGAGTGCGACCGACACACTGACAGGCAGTTGAGCAGGCGGACACGCGGACAAAGCAAAACGCGCGACACGTGGTGGTGCAAAGCCTTGCATGTCAAACTAACCCGATACTCCCTAAACCCTAAACCCTAAACCCTGGCATGTTCGAATTGGAACCAAACCTCCTTTGCTGGCTGGCTTGGTCCTACAACCACCCTAAACCGTGTCAACCTCTAGAGCTCGGCCCACTAGGCTACATCGAGCTTCGACGAGATGTGCCACCTGTCACAACCATGCATTATAAGGGCTTTAACAACTAGAGCAGGTGTGTGTGCGTGTGGGGGGGGGGAGGAGGAATACTAGAGTTAAAATAAGGAACCCTGAGTGAGGCGAGATGCTAACAGACTTCTAAATTAGTCAGGACTCCCACGAACTGTCCAGCAGTTAATCTAGTCATTTCAGCCATACAAAGTGTATGTGTCCATACATCTACATGTGCGCATATATACATATACACATGTATATATGCGTATGTATGTATGCAAGTATGTATGTATGTACAAGGTGGTGCCCCCGAGTTATAAGTAAGTTATAACATATGTTATCGAATTTGTAAGTAACTTATAACATATGTTATCGGAGTTATAGATCCGTTAACTTCTCCGCTTGGCCACAACCTCCCTGCGCAAAATCTCCTTCAAATCGTGGTCGGTCCACAGCATGGTGGTGCCCTGCAGGATGCGCCCCTGAATGCCGATCAGCCGCACGCAGTCCATGATGTCCCGGTACCCCCCTCTCGATGGCCAGGTTCTTGAACCTCCGACCCAACCTGGACATTGTCAGCCCCAGGGTCTTGGGGTGTTGTATAACACCGACAAGATTACCACCCAAGGACGTGCCCTTGAAATGGAGGTAGCGGTCGGAGATCCAGACCGTGACCTGTAGCGTCATGACCGCAGCAGCCGCAGGAGGTGTCGCGGAAGACTCGGACTCGCTGTGCATTATTGTTGAATCGTTCCAGGCTCCACC